AGTATTGAAAATAAGGGATACGGATTATGATTGGGATTGAGAAAATAATATTTAGCATGAGAGATTACTTATTACATGGGATTAAACAAACTCATGTATGTGAGATTGGAAAATACCATAGGAAGAAGTGATATTTTTCAATTCTGCTTTCATGGGTTTGCCTAATCTCATGTAACAAGTAATTGCTTATGTTAAAATCTTTTTTAATGATTTTTTTTATTACAATCCTAATACCTATCTTTTATTTTTAATATTTCGTACCAAACAGTTATTCCCAGAAAAATCATATTGACGATGAATTGGTTCGTGAGCATTGCAAAACACGCAAGTCTCTATGGTATTAAGCCCTCCTTCTTTCGCTTTTTGAATCAAAACAGGCCACATCTGCATGATCAGCAAACTCATATTATGAGCAGTACTAGTACGATCATTTGCATTAAATTTAATCAGGAGAACAAAGATTCCCAGATATGAATAGAATTATGAGTAGAAGAAGGGATGGAATATTACTTCAGGTGTGCTTCTGGGATAATGAATTGAGCCAGGAATAAGAATCCGACGTTGGCCATCGATGATGATGGCTCTTCCATCGTGGAAGACATTGACAGAAATTGCTAACAGAAAGAGACTTAGCAGAGAAAGACAAAACAAGATTTTGTGAGAAGCCATATTGAAATGACTTGGGGAAGAAGAGGATGGTGTGGAGTATAGATGGAATTCAAAGAAAGGTCAAGATTACTTTATATAGGAAAAAAGAAAGGTCAGATTATGCAGATGTTTATCTGCTCTTTAAAATTTGTTTTTTCTTTGGATGAAAATAGATATATTCTAGTTTATTACTATCTTTCATCACCTTATGATATTTATTGGGGTGGATTAGAAGTTAACAGATCAACAGAATCATTAATTAGATAATCTTGATCAATAAAAAAAATCTCATGAACTAATTTATAATATAACTTGAATTTTGAAAAATATCCATTTTTTTTTCTAGCTTCTTATCATCAATAATCAATAATTGGATATAATAATTAATAATTTTTTAGTGCGATTATTGTTTGCACGTACTTCTCCTACCTACTGTCAATTCTTTTTATTTAGTAAGGGAGGAGCATAATATGTATTATTGAGCAAATATCCTCTTAAACTTTAATTTCTTAAGTTGAGCTCATAATCTTATGAAAAAAAACTTCTGAATTATATGTGGATAATTTTCTAGGATTTTAAGTCACATGTAAATGCATATAAATTGTCTGTGACTGTAATGTAGTGCTGCCTCTAATCTTTAATATAAGAACCGGTTAACTAATTTAGAAAAATAAAAAATTATTAAATTACTTAATTACAGCATATGTTACATGATCTTTTTAAAATACTTATGTGAATCATTTTATTATTTATCAATTTATAAGTGAGGCAAATTAGTTTGGAGAGAAACAATATATACAAATAGTTTAAAATAATTTAGTAACTTTCTTAATTTTTTTCAAATTAGTTAATTATGCCTTATATTAAAAATAAGGAGTAGTAATATTCCGGTGTTTTGTTATTTTGGCCATAAATGGAGTATTCTTATTTCAATGTCAACGCCGCTCGACATGCTTTCCTAGTTAATGTGTGTTTATATGCGTGCGAGTCTTTAATTGCATTAAATTTAAAAAAAAGGAAAAAACTAATTTTTAGTTATTTAATTTTTAATTTAATTCCTTAACTATGACTCATTATGACTTAGTTTTGAACTTTTAACTTTGATAGTTCTTAACAATTTCTTTAATAAACTAATCCTTATTATATAGAATTGGGATAGGGGTGTTTGCACTTCTTTTTCCCCCCCATTTTCTCCACTTCCCATCTCAACCATAAGATTACAATTTGAACAGTCCAGATTTCTTATTTTATAAAATTATGAATATAATGTTAATTTTTGTAAAAAATAAATAAATAAAACTGAATTACCAAATTTTAGTTATGATAATTTAAAACAATAATAAAAATATTATACAAAATTATATTTCATATAATATGAAATCTGACCAGTTTGAATTTCAATCTTAATGGTTGAGATGAGAAGTGGATGAACATAAAAGAAAAAGAAGTGGAAAGACTCTTCTTTCCTACAAAAGTCGTACTGAGTCATCATTCAATCATCTTATGTGGCAAAAAAATACAACTAATATGACTTCCAAATAAGCTACAGAGTTCATCAATCATCCTATGTAGCAAAAAATACGGTTGATATGGCTTCCAAATAAGCTACAAATTTCATCCTCCTTATCCAATTGATTCGTGGCCTAATTTATAGTTCAAAGCATGATTTCATGCAGTTCAATACGCAGAACCAAAAGAAAAATAATCATGAGTTAATGGATAGTCGAATACTTCATATTTCATTGGGTGACTTTTCACACCTAGTCATAAAACAGAGCCATGATCCTCATAATTCATGGTAGCATTTCATTGGCCATCCATGTTCTCTGCTCCATGAAAAGCAAATTGCTCAAAGCCTGAGAGCCATGTCATATTTCTCCTTTGCCATGGTTTTGCAGTTTTTCTTGGTCTCTGCCGTGTGACCTTAAGACAGAAGGGGGAGGCTCTGCGGGTGAGACCACATTTTGAAGCCCTGCTTTGAAGCCATGCAGTAGTTTTTGCCACACGTTACGAGTTAAAAAGGCTAGGAAGTATATTTGAGAAAGTTAGCCATAAATATGCCTGGAAAATCAAAAGATTAATTTTTGCTTTAAAAAAAATGCAACCTTCAATTTTTAACATAAGGAGGAGATGATTAATTTATGAATATTAAAAAATTAATTTAATTATTTATAATAAATAGATTTTGAGTTTTTTTAAAATATTTATTTAAAAAAATACTCTAGCATGTGACATGTTCATTAAATCTTTGAGGAGAATTAAAGTTCCAATATTCTCAGAAGCTTTTCTAATTTTATTTATAAGTTATTTTTAACATATTTCACTTAAATTAAAAAAAATTTTAAACTTCATTAATTTTTATTTAAAATTTAACAACTTTTTAACTTTATTCTTATTTAATATATATTATATTTTATGTAAATAAAATTAACACTATAACAAATAAAAAATAAAATTATACATCCATATAAATATTTTCTCTCACTTATAATATATCTTTTGGTTTTGTCTAGTTTGATTGGTCTTTCCGCCGGATGCCGCCTTCAGCCTTTAACATCCTGAGGCTTAACAAAGCAGTACAATCTTCCTTGGTATTGGGCTTTCTTTTCCAGTTGTTCATATTCATGCTTCCGCTCCCATGGGCCGGTTAAATCACATGCAAATTATTTTCATATAGCTATTAGGCCAATATCATTTTATTTCAAAGATTTTAGTATCTAGATTATAGTTTAAATATTCTTTTTCCAATGACTAGTTTAAAGCGTATCAATGCTGGATTTAATATAATATCCGGGGTTGACATATTAACTTCATTAGAAAATAATTTTTTTTCTTAATTTCAGCATAAAGAATAAAAGAAACATTAGATAGATGCCTCCTGCCCACATTCAGTGATTGACCCTGCCTCAAAATTAGATAGCCCAAAAAACAAATTAGTTATTGTTGAATAATAATAATATAAGTGGGGGGAATCATTTGATATCTTCCACAGAATTTTCTAACACAACAAAGATCAAAGAGCAAGTCAGACTTACAAATATGCCTCAAAAGTTTGAGTTCAGAAAGGAAATTTCCTTTCACACATCTAATTGATTCATCATCCTTGCTTTCTGTTTTCCTCAATACTCAATGGCATGCAACAGTTGAGAGTAAGAGGGGGGGGGGGGGAACCTAAATCAACTGGTGAAACAGTCATCAAATATAACAGCAAAAATGAGATTGAAAAAGAAAGCCATTATAGGAATTGTTTCCCACCTGCCACTGAGACACAGGAAAAAGCACCCAAGGAACTCAACTGAACTCCCATAAGTTGAATCTCAAACAGAGATCATCAAAATGGGATACAAGTTGCAGAACGAAAGGTAAAAGTATGCCTCAAGATTATGAGAAACAGGTGGGACAGAGGAGGAAACTTTAGGAAAACCCTAAAGAAAAGCCTCCATTGTTGATGGTTTATGTCGCGCAGCTATGACTCAAAACGCTTTCATGGCTGAAAGAGAAAGGCGATCTTAAGGGCTGCGCTTATCCACTATGCAAATCCAAGACAGTCGAATAAATCAAGACTATTTAAAAACAATGGACGTTGCTGAAAACGAGTTCACGAAGTTGAAGTCAGTTTCTCGCTAACTTGTGAATAATGAACTGGTTAAGAGATTTAAACATCCCTCAGATTCCATTTCTCCTCAATATGATTCAGTCCACTACTTTTAATGTTAAAACAAATCGTCACAGGGATTCAGCTGTGGGAAAATAATTTCTTGAAAGAATCTGCAGATGTGAATGGCAACACACTGCATTCGAGCAATCAACCACCCATCAATTTCTAAGAGTGGGAAAAATGACGAATTGTTAACTGTATCTTCACACCCAAGAGCAGAGCAATCATACGAACAAAAACAACAGTTAGACGCAAAATGAGGTTTGCATTACTGCAACAAAAAACTTCAAGCCATGAAATCAAGCAAAAATATAATCACTGAGCTTGATTGACAGAATTTACACGAGAGAAGTTAACAGCACAACTAAAAATCTTTCTTTACACGAAATCGAACTAATCTCCATCGCAATCGAATACAGATATGCCACCTAGGTTTTCGCACATGCTCCGCCTTGGTTCGGCACCGAGAAGAAGGGATGGGTTAGTCGGGGTATTTATAGGAAGCCGTAATGGCTAGGTTACCGGTTTAGCCCCTATCATTTTACTTAATTGCGTTTTAGTCCCTACATTTTGCTTAATTCCGTTTTAGTCCCTATCATTTTGCTTACTTCCGTTTTAGTCCTCCCACGGGTATGCCTCCTTCACCCGCGAGTTGGACTCAGCCTAGCGAAAGCGTTATGTCTAGTCTCCCTATGACTCTTCCTTTGTCTTGTGTCGGTGGGAAATTGCAGGCCCCGTAAAACTACCAACCCCTGAAAGAGGAAATTGTACAAAGAAGACGTTACAGGGCGTTTCTTTCTGAAGGTGAAAGAAGATTCCAAGCATGGAACCTCTAAGGAAGAAGCAGCTCAAGGTGGGAATACGTCTTACTCTATTGATGTTCTTCGTCTTGGGTGCTTCAGCTTGGACTGGTGAAATCCATGGCAGGGTTGTTTGTGATGTCTGTGGCGATTCTTCTATTGGACCTGAAGACCATATCCTCGAAGGTCCCCCCCACCTTCTCTCTTCAATTGGCACTGTCTTTCATTTCGGTGTCTTTTGGACTGGGTTGTCCAATTGGATTTCTGATTTTGTACCGAAATTGATTTTCATTTTAATTGAACTGCATTGTGTTTTTCCTCAACTGATGGACTCAGCTGATGATCCTGCCTTTATAAGCTTGCTGAAGGGCAGTTTCGTTATATATGGACTGTGGAAATAGGTTGGAAGAGTCTCTTAATTTAGTTTTGTACCATCTGTTTCATATCAATCATTATTGCAATTGAAGTTTCAGCCTTTCAATTTGGTCACCCCACTGATTTCATCTGCAGTCACAAATAGCTTATTTGATCTTAAGATTTGTTGGATGCGTGCGATTTCTTCAATCTTATATTGGCTTTACATGTAAAAATTTGTTAGTAATGCTGAAGTAGAATCCGTGCCATAAGATGGCTTGGTGTTTTACTCGGTTGTTCTTGCAAGCCTTGATGAAGAATTTGATAGCCTGTTTTAAGCTTGCTGCTTTGCTGGAATGACATAACTTTAGTTTAACCAGTTACCATTCTGACCAATCCGTTCAAGCTAAATTTTAATCATTGGCATGGCCATACTTCTTTAAAAGAAATTTAAAAATCGATTCACTGACTGATTAGTATCACGTCGCCTTTAGCCCAATGTTTTAGTTTGTGATTTCCAAGGATGGCAAGGATTGAAGTTCGGAAGGAGCTTTGTAATAATGTTCTTAGAGCCTTTCTGAATCATCTGGATACAATTCTAATAAATTATATTTCACTTTGTCAAAACCATTTTCTTCGCATTCTCTTGCAACACAAGTGCTATTGTTTTGGGTCCCATTGCTGCATTCCACGCAGGCAAGTTCAGGCAGAGAGGTATGAATGTAGTAGATTGCCTTACTGGCCCTACAACTGACTTCATTAGAGTTAGCATTGGAGCCCCTTGAGTGGTGAATATTTTCAAGACTAAACTTGTCGGACCTACCTGTTTTCGACAGAGGATGTGAATCAGGGAAAGTCTTTGTGTCGCTTTATTTTGCTGTCAATAGTTGTCTCATTATGCTTTTGATGGGTTTGATTTATTGAAATAACTTTGTTCCTATTGTTCTCTATTCTAGGGCCAAAGCTACTTGTAGTAAGTTGTAATCTCCATGATTTTACATTGGGAAACTAGGAGCAGCTCAAGGGTTTTCCTCACAACCATCTGATTCATTTTCATTTTTGCAATTGGTGAAAAACTATTCAAACAATCTGAAAATCCAAAACTTTCAAGTTTCCATCTTAAAATACCACTTATGTAACTGTGATCCACACATTGTGGGGTCTTGGCAACCTTGTACGTTGATTCTGCTACTTGAATAAAATTTATGTTGACTCCAGCAGCTTGAATTGATTTTTCTTTTTAACCTGTTGTATTTGAATTCTGATAAGCAATATTATCACATTTGAACCAAGTAATTGATTTGGTTGATTCTACTCATCAGTTTGATGGCACAATTCTATCTGCCCCCCTGGATTATAATTGAAGGGTAATGCAACAGAGGTAATAGCAATGTGATTGTCCTCTGGAGGTGAAACTAGTCCCTTTCTTCAGCAAAACAAATGAAAAATAAAATGCATTTCAAATGCTTGATGCGACCTAGGATTCAGATTTGGCGGATCAATCCATAACATGATTAACTATCAATATTCTGTTGGATTTCCTAAAATGTGACTCTGACTGCTTTGATGCAGGTGCTGAGGTTGCTGTTCTTTGCATCACAAAGTCTGGGGAGGTTCTAAATTACCAGGCATTCACAGACACTAGAGGGATTTACACTGTTGCCGAGACAATGCCCGAGAGCGATCGTTGGGATGCCTGTCTTGCTCGTCCCATTAGCAGCTTCCATGAGCACTGCACCGAACTCGGCAAGGGCAGCTCAGGGGTGAAGTTCAGCTACAATCACCCATCAGGTTATTCCCATACAATTAGAACTTTCGTTTACCGACCTTCTAGCCTTCCAACCTACTGCATTTGATCTGCCCTGGCCTTGCTACAAACCTAATGGTGACCATACTTGGTTAAACTACAAGGAAAACTAAGGAGTACATGAGCAATTCATGCTATACTATATGCGCGCGCGCGCATACACACATATATAGAGTGTTGTCTGATATTTATTATTACTGTAGAGCCTAGTTGAAATGAAGGTGTGAACTGTGTGAGTCTATGACCAAAGGACTTGTGAATGACATTGTCATTGACAGTGACAGTGGAGCATGTTCATTGTAAGGAGTTTGAGAAGTGAACCATACTGTTTGTAACTTATGAATAGTTCTTCTTTTTTTAATAGATTTTATATTATATATTATGAAATTGTTCAGTTTTCATGTACATCATTGTTACTGCAGTGAGTATTTTCGTGACATCCTTGCATAATAGCAGGTGCAAGGCATTGTGAAGGAGGTCATGAATAATAACCTAACTTGTGTGTGTTTGGATATCTGTGTGTTAAATTTGATCCATTTCCAAAACAAATGCAAGGAATTGACAATTTTGAAGAAGGTTAAGTGAGGTGAGGCATTTATCTATATGGTTAGTGGAGTGGTTCGTTAATTAGGTATTTGCGTTTATTGGATGTAAAATTGTAAACTGTATTCTCAACAATTGGGATGGCAAATTCCATTGATTTCTAAGTTCAAGAAAAATTTAAAATCTTTTCCTCAAAGTGTTCAGAGATTTCCTAGGGTCTGGGTTTGCATACAAATTGTTTGCTAATAAAGTCTTTACATCAATCAATAGTGGGATTTGAACATGCGATATTATGGGTTATGAATTACCCTTTTATCAAGTGAATCAACTTTTATTGGCGATAGAACAGAATTATATAACCGGTAACATTATGCAGCCAAGATGAAGGCCAAAACAGAATCAACACAAGCAAGCAGACCAACGAATAAAGGAAACAACCTCAAGCCCATATAACCAATGGGAGTTGCGTCTAACGAAAAGACTAGTCCCTCACAACGTAACGAACCAAATTCGAATTTCTGTCAGGAAGATGCCCATATCAAGTGTCCAACAGTGCTTCGAATAGGATTACCTCTAATAGGAAGATATCTATGTTTTGGGGGGAGAGGAAAAACTCAAGCCCATACTTGTCACCAAACACTGAGAGTCCAGCTTGACTCCGTCGAATTGAAACAAATAGGAAAAGGCATAGAATTAGATAAGATGAATCTTTCCCCCCTTAATCTAGTCAATGTGTTGGCCCAAAAAAAAAAATGATAATCTCATATTTGAACAAAATCAATATCAATAATATTTTATAAAGAAAATGACATAAAAGGAAGTTGAAAATTGTAATATTCCAATTCGGTAAATAACAAAAATGTCATTATATTAAAAAGTTTGTTAACAAGTTATGAATTAACAAATGTATTGAGAATTACAAGTTTGATAGCTTTTTTTTAAAAAAAAATTAATATGAGTATGTTTTAGCCATTTGATTATATTTACAAAATATCAAATCAAGCATCACTTTCTTTTTTTAATGTTATTTTCCCTACTTTATATTATAAATAGACGCAAGAAAAAAATTGAGATAATAATTATTTACCAAGTTAATAATAAACAAATTTTATTTTGTCATTTTAATTTTTTTTTTAAAATTTATTTTATTTTTTATATCAAATTATAAATCCATATTCTTCACCCGAAAGAAAACCAATGCCGGGAGTCTGAAACCCTGGCTCTGACTGGCAAAAGCGAAGGGCTTTGGTGAGGGAGAATAATATACAGAAATGGTTGTTGCCAGACAGATGAGAGGATGAAAGTGGCGGTGACGCTGAGAATTCGTGGTGGGTTCCGTCACAAGGCAAAGTCTCCGTCCTCAACCCTCTTCCAACCTCGAACATCTGTCCGTCAGGGTGGAGGCGAGGGGGCGACGGTGGAGGGATACCACTAGCTCGGAGGGCGAAAGGTACAAATTAAAAAAATTTGGAAGAACTATAGTATTTGGGTAAATAATTTTGCTTCTGCAGCATTTTGAGAGATATTTTCTTTTCTCCCGGTTTATAACTAGAAAAAGCCTCATTTTATGTATGAAAGGGCAATTTAAACAAGCCTACAGCGTGGGCGCTTCTTGTCTTCGGTATTTTAACATCTCTTATGTGGCCACCATTTTTCGAAATCCAGTTTCACATTTCTCCACCATTTCTCTGAAATCTCACTTGCAAAAAGGGCACCTTGTGGATCTCAAAGAGCAATTTGTCAGCCTTTGTAACAAAGGATACATTAAAGAAGCATTTAATTTCTTTGTACCTAAGATATGGGAAGAACCCAATCTGTTCTCTCATCTATTCCAAGCATGTATATTGAGAAAGTCCATGCCCTTAGGGAAACAACTCCATTCTTTGATAATCACATCCGGGACTTCCTCGGACAAGTTCATTTCCAATCATCTCTTGAATCTCTACTCAAAGTTTGGAGACCTGCAGACAGTTGTGACTTTGTTTCATCGTATGCCCAAGAGGAATACAATGTCATGTAACATTATGATTAAAGCATATCTTCAAAATCGTGATTTTGAGAGTGCTAATACGTTGTTTAATGAAATGTCAGAGAGAAATGTTGCAACATGGAATGCAATGGTCACAGGATTGACCCAGTTTGACATGAATGAGGAGGCTATGTCATTGTTCTCAGAAATGAACAACTTGGGTTTCATGCCTGATGAGTACTCCTTAGGTAGCATACTTAGGGGATGTGCACATTTGGGAGCTTTGTTAGCAGGAATGCAAGTTCATGCTTATGTGATGAAATGTGGGTTTGAGTTTAATTTGGTTGTGGGAAGCTCTTTAGCTCATATGTATATGAAAGTGGGACGCATGCAAGACGGAGAAAAAATTATCAAATCAATGCCAACTCATAATGTTGTTGCTTGGAATACACTTATTGCTGGAAAAGCACAAAATGGGTATGCTGAAGAAGTTCTGAATCACTACTGTTTGATGAAGATGGCGGGTTTTAGGCCTGATAAGATTACTTTTGTGAGTGTGATTAGTGCCTGTTCAGAGTTAGCCACCCTTGGTCAGGGAAAGCAAATTCATACCGAAGCAATCAAAGCAGGAGCTAGCTCTGTAGTTGCTGTAGTTAGTTCACTAGTTAGTATGTACTCCAAATGTGGATGTCTGGAAGACTCTGTCAAAGCATTCTCAGAATGCGATGAACCAGATGTTGTATTATGGAGCTCAATGATTGCTGCTTATGGTTTCCATGGGGAGGGGCAAGAAGCTATCAAACTCTTTCATCAAATGGAGCAAGAAAAATTACAAGCAAATGAGGTAACATTCTTGAGTTTGCTATATGCTTGCAGTCATAGTGGACTGAAGGACAAGGGGCTCGAGTTCTTCAATTTGATAGTCGATGTGTATGGACTCAAGCCTTGGTTAGAACATTATACCTGCATGGTTGACCTACTCGGTAGATCTGGTTGTTTGGAGGATGCTGTGGCTATGATACGAGAAATGCCTGTAAGGGCTGATGCAATTATATGGAAAACATTGTTATCTGCATGTAAAATCCACAAGAATACTGAAATGGCAAGAAAAATTGCTGAAGAAGTTATTAGGATAGATCCCTACGACTCAGCTTCTTATGTTCTTCTCTCAAACATTCATGCTTCAGCTAAGAGTTGGCAGGATGTTTCCGAAGTGAGGAAAGCCATGAGAGACCGGAAGGTGAAGAAAGAACCTGGTATTAGTTGGGTAGAACTGAAGAATCAAGTTCACCAGTTCACTCAGGGTGGAAAATCCCACCCAATGTCAGTGGAGATTGATTTGTATCTAGAAGAACTAACTTCAGAAATGAAGTTCCATGGCTATGTCCCCGATACTGCCTCCGTTTTGCATGACATGGATAATGAGGAGAAAGAATATAACTTGGTACACCATAGTGAAAAGTTGGCAATTGCTTTTGCTTTAATGAACACCCAAGAGGGTGCACCTATAAGGGTGATGAAGAACCTGAGGGTATGCAGTGATTGTCACGTTGCCTTCAAGTTCATATCCAAGATAAAGAATCGAGAAATTATAGTGCGAGACTCTAGCAGGTTTCATCATTTCAAAAATGGCACATGCTCTTGTGGAGATTACTGGTAATTGCCTGATTCTTTCTTCTCATGGTTGTACAAGAAGGACAATAATGGATTGGTTCTGGTTCGAGACATGATTTGTGGAGATTACTGGTAATTGCCCGCTTGTTTCGTCTCATGGATGAACTTAAGAAGGACAATGCTGGGTTTGTTCCACTTCACTGACCTGATTTGCCTAGTTGACTCTTGGCCTGCAAGGACATCACTGAAACTCTTATTTATGCACTCACTCAACTCAATGCTGCTGATGAAAATTTTCAGTTTGTCTGCAATTTTGTTATTGGGGGGAAGGGGGAACCTAAATAACTCATTCTTTAAAATATTTTAAATATTCTCTTTTTAGTCTCATCTACATATACAAATTGGAGTGAAAGCTTATATTGCTGAATTGGACATTGTTTTACTGACGGGGCAGAAGTTAACCAACACTTATTACCCTCTGTCCGCAAAAGGAGAAATTTGGCAAAAATCTTGAGTTTTTTAAACGAGGGCTCTTAGTCAGGGCTTTTTTTTTTTTTAAAAAAAAAACAACCTCGAGTAGAATTTGGAGATGCAACTAAAAGAATACAACTTGTCTGACGCACCATTGTTTCCATCAAACATATTTATTTTGTACAAATTTAAACTCAGTAATAATTAAAATGCTTTCACAGTCATTCATCTCATCTAGATCCGTAGAGGTCGTTACCAGTAAAAACGTCTCTAAACAAGGTTCCTGTTTGAAAACTAAGACTAAAACGATGTGCTAGTGACTAAAACTTAGATTATCTGCAAAACTTGTAACGAGTTACTTCCTTCAAACCATAATGTAACGGCCGGGACAATATGACGATGGAGAAAAAGAATGAAAAGAATGAAGTAGAGGAAGCATCTGCGTATAAAAAATGACCACTGACTCCTGAAATAAGGAATCATATATGGTCGAGTTGGAACGCCAAATTTAAGCATATTTATCATCAAAGTAATAAATGTGCGAATAAACCTGTGAGGAGCACTCATGGCACTCTGTCATGATAGAGGGCTTCTTTGGAGTGGGGCAAATAAAGATATGGTATGAGAATGGAATAAAGAAAATTTGGTAAAAAATACCCATTTAGAAATTTAATTAGTTAAAAGGATTTAAATTTATACAGATACAACTATCTTAAACAAGTACAACATATCTTTTACTGTATATAACATATTTTTCAATAATATGCAAAAGTCATCAAAACAACAGATATGTTACATATAGTTGAAGAAAAATTACAATAGTTGTACTTGCTTAAGTTTAGATTTTTTTAGTTTGTAAAATTTTTAAACATATATTTTTTACCAATTTTCCCATGGAAGGAGTGGGCCAAAAGGAAAGGATTTGAAGGACACAAGTCACACAAGGAGAGGGTGCTGTGAGAACAGAACGTGGATTTGATTTTGCAATCCTCTTTCTGCTGATTCTCTCCCCTCCTTTTTGCTGGTTCTCTTGCCGTCCTTCCTGCAGCCTTCTTCATCACTCTGTTTGCATGTCATTTTCTGATTCTGCCTTGTTTCGGAACTTCATGCTATTTGAACATTGTAAGCAATGAGTATTTGACAAAATCAATATGTTCATTCAATTACGTCTGGTGTTAATAAGCTAATCTATACACATGGTTCTTTCGTTAAAAGCCAACCAACTAGAGAGAACTGTTTGGGGAGGGGCAAACAATCAAGAGGCCAAGTGAAGCATCTCAATGTGGAGCCGTAAGGATATTGATCCTTGTGAAGGATACATTGTTATGAGTTTTACATTGGGTGAGTTTCTTTAAAAGAAGGACTTTATATAAGGCCTTGGGTTTTCCAACTTTAATAACTAATTTTTAAGGTGTGGTTCTCTCAGAACATTTAAATATAATTTTGTATTTTTCATGATCCACTCACATTAAAAAGATGTAGCTTTTTCCCCCTCCCCAATAGATTATGGCTTATGAGTTCAATGTGCAAATCTCTGAAATTCCTTTCAGAAAAGGAAACTTCCACTTAGAAAAGAGCTTGCATACTATTAAATTCATTGGCTCTCTAATTGGAGTACTAAAATAACAAGGACTATAAGAAATCCCATAATGTCTAGTTTGAACATCAAGTTTGAACGAGGTTTTACTTTAAAAATCTCAGTTTATCTGCAAAACTTGCGCCAAGTTACTTCGTTATTAAAACTAGAGTAAACAATGTCAACGGGTTATAAAGGTCACTGAAGCCGTATAGATTCACATTACAGCACAATATTACTGTGGATAAAACCTATTGGTAAGCTTTTGTCCAAATAGCAATTCAACATTGATATCTTAATCCAGGGGACAAATCCAGTGGTTTTGATTTGATCTGTCATTGTGGTTCAGTTGTCAATATACTTCTTCCATTGTTGGATTTGGCCAGGGCCCCGTTGCCCTTACAAGTCTCAAAAAAGGAGAATATTGCTAGATTTAGACCTTCGTGGCTTTGTTTGAACGGACAAAGCTTTCTTCCCACTTCTTCTTCCCAGGTGCAGCTAGCCAATAAGTACGACTCGCCGTCGACGCAATGAGTGAAGCCGAACCCTCTTCATATCCTCCCATCGAGCCGGTGAACTTTGATCTTATTATCGTGGGCACCGGCCTGTCAGAATCTGTTATCGCCGCTGCAGCTGCTGCTGTTGGGAAGACCGTTCTCCATCTCGATCCCAATTCCTTCTACGGCAGCTACTCTGCTTCCCTTTCCCTTGATGACTTCACTTCTTTCGTCAATTCCCATTCTGCATCCCCGTCAACCACTACCACCGCAACTACGTTGGGTAATCGGCGTGACGATAGCAATCACGTCGTCATAGAACTCATTCAGCAATCCCTGTACTCTGATGTGGAAGTTGTTCTTTGTGCTTCTGAGAAGGAAAACTTACTGCGTGAAAATTCCAGAAAATTTAATTTGGACTTGGGAGGACCTAGGACTCTATTTTGCGCTGACAAATCCGTTGATATATTGTTGAAGTCTGGTGCAAGCCAGTATATAGAATTTAAGGGCATTAATGCTAGCTTTGTATACGAAGCAAATGGGAAATTGGTGAATGTGCCAGATTCTCGGGCTGCGATTTTTAATAACAAGAGTCTTACGCTGATAGAGAAGCGCCGGTTAATGGAGTTCTTTAAGCTCATCCAGCAGCACTTGGCAGCTTCTACCGATAATTACAACAATAGTGATGCAAATGAAAGGGTTGATGGTTGCAACATTTCAGAAGAAGATCTGGAGAGCCGATTTGTTTGTTTCATGGAGAAAATGCGGTTGCCGCCAAAGATAAAATCGTACAGACCCTATCGCCCTATTCTATCTGTTAGTGAGAATTGCTTCCTATTTTCACGTTAACTTGACTTTTCGCTACAATAAGCTCTTCCATCTTTGTAGGCATTTTTGCCGAAACACTGTCAAGCCAAGCCTAACTGTATAGCGCATGTTCTCTGTTCTTGCTCTAGTTACTAAATGCTTCCTAATCCCCTACAGGATTCTTATGTATGCTATAGCCATGGCAGATTATGATCAAGAGAATAATGACTTTTGTGAAGATTTACTCAAGACAAAAGATGGAATTGAACGCTTAGCTCTGTACAGTTCATCTGTTAACAGGTAACTGATTGGTTTTCCCTCTGTACAGTGCATCTGCTTTAATTCTTTTAGTCAAATCACTTTTCTGTAAGGTACTGATGTAGTCTCAGGATTCCCAATGCGCCTGGCGCTCTGCTTTATCCTATTTATGGTGAAGGCGAGTTACCACAAGTCTTTTGTCGTCGTGCTGCTGTCAAAGGTTGCATATATGTAAGTTCCAATGTATTTATGTTTTTAGTGAAATGGTACTGTGCATTGTGAATTTCCCCATTTTCATACTCTGTGAAACCTGGAACCTTGCAAATATTAAGTGCATATCATTACTATCGTTTGAAATATTGTTTTACACATTGAATATGTACTTTGGCTGACTCTTAACTTTTTCCCCCCTTCCATTTTTATCACATCGTTAGATTGAGTGCCCTTTTGCACTTGGTCTATCATACACTCGTTTGAAGCAAAGTTGACCAAGTCACCTGGGTGTTATGTGATACAAGACAGGGAGGGGAATGGAAATTTGAAATATTTATAGATGAGTATACCTTTTTCATCCATTTGATTTACTAGAGCAATTGTCTGTGTTCTGACTATAGTCATAGTGGTAGTATATCTTTCAATTTTGGATGAGACTTGTATATCATAGACGCAGGTTTAATATCTGGACTTTTCTATAAATGGGGGTTAATTTTGAAACTGAAGGTTATTACCTACTTTTTTGCCATAGATGTGGAAAAATTGTTATGAATAGTTTTATTAAACATGCGTGCTTATTTAAACTTAAACATGTGTTACAGGTTCTCAGAATGCCGGTTATTGCTCTTCTTGTAGATAAGGTATTTTTTAATCTTTGTTTTATTTGAACAAAAAAAAGTTTATTTTTGAAAAAATATGAGGTTACTATTCTTGAAGCATGAAGCAGTTTCGTCATCGTCATCGCTCAAACTGGTGTTTAGGTTACTGGGCATTATAAAGGCATTAAAGTAGCTTCGGGTCAGGATTTATATAGTGATCAGCTAATCCTGGATCCATCATTCACCGTTCGATCACTATCGCCTTCACCTCCAGCGGATTATTCCATAGAAAGGATTCATATTTTATGTCAGAAAGAAGTTAAAAGGATGGTAGCCAGGGGCATATGTGTTACAGGGAGTTCCATAAAGAAAGATGTGCCTAATTGCTTGGTGGTGTATCCTCCTAGATGTAAGACATGTATTGTCTGCATTTTGTTGAAAGAAAAAAGTTGAAGACATATTGTGAAAGAAAAAGAATTAACCTTCTCTTCCTCTCTGTCTAGCCTTGTATCCTGAGCAACATACATCAGTCCGAGCTCTTCAGATAGGATCAAACCTTGCTGTTTGTCCTCCGGGCATGTAAGTTCACATGAAGCATTGATATGCTGTTTTAGTTTTCTCTGGAATGTCTTTCTTTTCCTTCTTGTCCTTCTAACTATTTTGATTTTTCCCCTTTAGACGGTTGTGTCTGCCAAACAGTCTGAGCTGGAATGTGTCATAAAGTATTTTATAGTGTCTACTGCTGTTCAAACAACTGACTACGCACTTATAGTACATCTGATGCACTTAGTTTGCTAGCATCATCTGAAAGTCTAGTCCAAATCTTTAGTCTTGGACCACTTGATATTAAAGGTGCCTTATTTTTGTTTCAGGAATGAGTTTTTATGATAGATGGCAATATTAATCACATTTATTCTGGCTCAAGGACATGTCTTTTCCTTTACGTACATGTGTTAGGAGATAGAATTATGCATGTGGCTTCTCTTTGGTGCTCAGCATGTGCGTTTTTATCTTGAGGGATTAACAATTTCTGAAATGCATAGAGATGAGACAACTCGTTTATGCATTTGAGTCTTCTAGGGCTTTGTTTCTGTGTCAATTTTTCAGATTGTCTTCGCATTTCTAATTTTAGGATGCTTTCTTTCCTCTCTTGAAAAGCTTTTCTTGTAAGCCCAACCCAAAAAAAAAAAAAAAAAAAAAGACCACCTTTTCTTTCGGTGGCACCTTCATTGTTAGCTGACTTTGCTAGGCATACAGAAAACCAGAAGGTTTGTTTTCTTGAGGGTGTCTAGAATGAAATAACTAACTGCAACGCACAAGTAGGAATTTCTGGCAATTCTCTCTGCTCCTCTGTCAACGTAGTCTCTGCTCTTGTTTTCTATCATCCCCTTCAACCCTTGATTTTAATGTCTGCTAAAATTGCTCACCTCTATCATCAGATAATGATGGAAGAAAAGATGACCTTTGTGCCTCTAGATTCATAGAGGGGAAGAAAAAGATGAACTATAAAGGCAGACTGCAGTCCATTATTCAATTCATTTATCGGTTACCCAAAAAAAAAAAGGGTGTACTTATTTTGTTATGATTCAGAAATGTTTCTGTTGTCTTCAACTTTGCAGATTTTTTCCATTGGAAAAAACGCAGATTTTTAGTTCTATGATCATATTTTTCTTATACTGGTATCATGTATTTCATTGTATCCTTTAATGTAGTTAGAGTGGCTTCTACGACCTTGTGAATCCTGGTTATGTTATGTTATCATATTCATTTTTCGCGCTCATTAATCACATTTACCTTACCCTTTTAAGTTATCTCTGAACGTGATTTGGGTCTGTCTGCTTGCTCTTGTTTAGTTTTGTATTATACTTTTGTGCGGTCTGTAAAGATTCTGATGAAGGAAAGAAGTTACTACAAGCTGCCATGAATGCCCTTCTTGTGTTGCCTGAAGCTGGGAATCCTGATAGTATTTCAAGTGATCAAAGTGATAGTGCAGAGATAAAGCCCATTGTGCTTTAGAGTGCATTTTATATGCAGAAAATAACAGCGGTTTGCTTCTCACTCTGGTTTGCTTAGAGTATTTCCTCCTCATATGATGCTTAATTTTACCTGCATATTTTGATGGGTCTTCTTCCTCGGATTATCTTTTTATGCTGCGTCCATTATAGGCTAATATTTTTGCTACAAAATTACTGAAACAAAATGCCTATAGGGATCACTGTGTTTTTCTTGTTTAACACACTAATGACAGTACTTTTAAAATTTTTCCATAACAGAACAAATCTAACGTGATTACAACATATGCAAAATTGATTGGCATAATTTTTTTCCTCACTAATGTGTTATTTCATTTCAGGGTAAATTTGATCGCATCAGTTTCGCTCCTGCACCAGATGGGAATCTCAACTACAACGACCTTTTAGATGCAACTGAGAAGGTACTAATTTTTCAGCTTGAACTATTTTCCTTACTGTTATATCTGCAATACTTCATATCAAGGAGAGAAATGAACATGAGAATATTCATGTGCTGGCATCAACTTTGGTTGGTTCATGAGTAAGGTTATGTGCAGCACCAAAAAAAAAAGAAAAAAAGAAAATGAAGGATAATTTTCATATGTTGTGGATGACGCTTACCACTTTGATGGTGGTACTTTCAGCTGTTTCATCAATTGTATCCCCATGAGGAATACTTCCCAGAGACCAGATCACCTGAAGAATCTATGGACGATAACGGGATTACTCTGGAGAGCTAGCAAGCGCAGGAAGGCTGAGCCTGATCACAAGAATGGAGCAACTACTCCATCATTTGAGAAAAATAAAGTTACTAAGATATATGCATCTGTCCTAAAAATTTGGGAAGATGGAGGTTGAAATTATTTTTTTTGGGGGGGGGGGGGGGATGCAGTTGAGAATTTTGGCATAGAAATGCAACCATTGTAAAGACATGAAAGTCAGTCTAGTTCTAGCATGTACATTGTACAAACAGTTCCATTCTTGCTGTTGTTATTGACTTATTCTTGTTTTCTTTGGAGGCAAACCTTGAAATTGGTCTTTTTCTTGCATATCTAAAGTGGAATCTTACTTGTCACCTGAAAAAAAGTAAGTGGAATCTTACTTCGGAAGCATGTCTTCACTATTGTATGAAGGTCTTTCTTGTGGCTTGGTCTTTCCACTCAGACTTTGGGTTAATTTTATGCAGTTTATGCCTGCTTTTGAAACCAATATCACTTTCTTTCATAACTAATCAATGGCACATCGGTCACACGGCATTTTTTCTTGTCTGTGAAATATAGCCGTGTGATGATGTTCTGTGCCACAAACTAGGGCTAAGGAAAAAATTCAGGTAACCTGGTCTGGTCCAGTAAAAATTAGTCTGATTATAAAACTAGATCAGACCAGGCCGACTGGTTGGGTTGGACCGGGTTTCAGACCAAGGGTTCAAATCACTTGGTCTGGTCTGATAGCTGCTTTTTTTTAGTTTTTTTTTTAAATAATGCTTTATATTTTAGATTTAGACAGTGTTGTTTAGTAGTATTGCACAAATCACACTCACAGGTTACGACCACTCGTACTCTCACTCCCTCATTCAGAATCAGACCACTCTCTCTCACTCTCTTGTCGAACGCGAAGAATCCAAAGCTATAAGGTTTGTTCATGGAGGATATTTTAATCTATGAATAAACTTTATAGCTTTAGATTATTATTGTTGTTGTTGGCAAAAAAAAATATATTATTCTTATTATTACGAAAATAAAATATAAAAAGGTGTAATGAATCATCTGCTTCATCACAAACTTTATATGAATGCATGAGACCTTGTCTAATTTTAATTTTTGTAAAAATATGAATCCTTTTATAAACAAGGTTCTACTTTGAAAATTACAACTAAAAAGACGTACCAGTGACTAAAACTTAGATTATCAGCAAAACTGGCACTGAATTACTTTATAAAATTAAATGACTAGTGTCTCATAAAATAAGGAATCTCATGGTTCGGCATCCCTTTATTAAATGCCATTCACAATCCCACAAAGAAAAAAAAAAGCACAAAACAAATTGTACGCAATGGGGGAAAAAAGGACGAGTATTTCATAAAAATTAGCAGGTGAACAAATGCAATTGAAATTCTAGGATTGCTTCATGGCACCAGTGGTAGGAGGACGAGGTGCTTGCCCAGGTTGACCAGCACGAGGTAGACCATCCTTTAAACAACCATATAAAATTACATCAAAAATTAAAATAGTGAGCAAATGAAACAAGAAAAGAAACGACTTGGGACCTACAAAGTAAATTATGAAAATCATTTTTTTAAAAAAACAAACCTTTTATTTGAAAATGTTTCTTAAATTAATCATAAGCTATTGAAAATCATTTCTCAAGTAAAATAATCTAAAATTTGTTTCTTTCATATTCTAATTATTTTCAACTGGTTGAACAGCAAACATAAAATTAGGGGAAAAAGTAACTCTTAATCATATTTATAAATAAGTGCTTGAGGAATACAAAAGAGTATAAAGTCAACATAACCCCATTATATAAAAAAAGAGATTTAATTAATATCTTATAATTAAAGATAATATTTGATTCATAGATTCTATATTATTTTAATTCCTATATTATTATTATAAATCTTTACAATTAATATCTTATAATTAAAGATAATATTTGATTCATAGATTCTATATTATTTTAATTCCTATATTATTATTATTATAAATCTTTACAAAGTAACAGATATAACAAAAACCATAATGAAAAATTGGCATACCATGACCCTAACCAATCGCTGTGGCTGTGGTGGTTGCCGGTTTCTCCTTTCTTCGTGAGAACGAACCCTCACAACATGGGAGTGAATGGCACAAGACACACAATATTGCATCTGAGCATACATCTTTGGAAACTTGTACTCTGAATCCAATAATTAATTAATTAAAGGTAAAGTTTATAAATATTCAGAAAATAAAATAAAACAAAATGAACCTTACGTACCCTCATATGCACAAGCTTCCTGCACATCCCTAATAGCAGCCTGCTCCACAATGTTCCTCACAATACATCTTTTAATCGCCTTGTCCTACCATCACAGCCACAAATTTAAAACTCATCACTGATAAATAAAAAAGTGTGGCCTGAGCTACTACCAAGTGATGAGATCCGAAGAGAGACAAATGTATAGAGTTTCCTTTTACCGTTGTTATGAGACCCACCCTTTGAAAACTCAGTTTCTAACAATAAGTTAAAACCATCTTTAGTTCTTAGAAGTTTGACATCGCTTTGATTTTGGTGTTTGAAATTTAAAAAGGATGGTTTTTGTTTTGAAATAAGGCTTCAAAGATCAAAACTACCATGACCCGAAATAAAAATGAGATCAAATTTTATGGATAGGATACGGTGTTAATCTTAAAATAATCGAAGAAAGAAACATTGGACATGAAAGAAGAATGAGAGAATACCTTAGGGCAACATTTGCCGCAGTTGGAGCAGTGAACAGAATCAACGTGTCCACGGCCATGTTTGCTGCGTCCACAGTTCCTTCTCTTAAAAGTCTGCAAGAAGAAGAAGAAGAAGAATCCATAAACAAAGAAAAAGAAAAAGAAGAGATCGTAGGTGAGAATGGAGATAGCCAAAGAAGCGAAGAACCGACCATGGCGGCTTATTAGTTGATCTGGACGAGAGAGAAAAAAGGTATTATACGGTTTTGGTTAAGTTTGAGTTTGACACGGTCTTGTGGGTTTTTATAACATAAAATAATGATAATTTGGAATTTTTTTAATTAATCCTTTCAAATATACAATTGATTTTTTTTTACCATGAATATATACTTGATTGAAATCATGGGATATCTTTTAGATTATATGCATTTAATAGTATCTTAATTATTTATCTATATTATTAATTAACACTAATTATAATTAGAATCAATTAGACGAGAGTGGTGTAGAATATGCAGTTGTTTCATAAAATTAGGGATACGGGCTTCAGGTCTGAAACTCTCAATGGATAATGACATAAAATGGGGAGAATTGTAATAAGTTTTCATGAAATGAACATTTTTTTTATAAAAAAAAGGCTCATAATGTACAACTGAGAAGATTAAAATGAGAAGTTCCAAAGCAGAAAATAAGATGTTTAAGTTATTTACTTGTTATTGAAACTTTTTAGTAATTATTCTTCTTTTTGGGATTTCACAATAATTCTCCCTACAAAATAATATGTTGGTTTATAATTATACACACACACATGTAATTGTGTACGTACGTAATTATGTATATTTTGAGTTTATAGCTTTTGTATATTTTGTTTTCCATTTGATTGGATATGGTTGATTTTATGATCTACTTTATGATTTGATTTAGATTTCTTACTTGTTCATGGTTGATCACGGATGATTTCGTAATCTGGTAGGTTTTTAATCTAATATAAATTTTTTCAATGATTTTTTTCTTTGAGCAGAAAGTTTTTATTGATTTTATTTGGGATCATTGATTGTGATCCTTGAAACCTTATTTCAAGAAATTAAATAAAAACACTATTCTAAAGACTAAAAAATTTTTGGGGCACTAGTCAAATTTTAGGGACTCAGACCACTAATTTCAAATTTTAGAGGATAAAAATAAAACAATTCAGGTTAACTTTCAAGCGTTAAAAATAGTATTAATAATCCTTGATATTATTATAGCCTTTTTAGTTGCAAAACAGGAAAGACACATTTAAAAAAATGTGCACAATAAAGAGAAAAAAGAAAATCATAAATTATTTATTTATTTTACAAGTGAGGAGGGACTGGATGCCCTATAAGCAGATGAAAGTTGACTATCAACATAAAACATAAAAGGTGTTATAGAGTTATAATCATTCATTCTAAATTCTAATTGCATACCAAACAATAGTTTATAAAAAATTTTATTTTAAAAATGGTTGATAAAAACATTCTTACCATTCCATCATTTTAGCAACACGTAAATTATTGAATTAAATTGTTTTAGATCTTTTTTTTTAATAATGCCTAAAGCTATTTTTATTGGGTATGTTAGTTGGTACCAAAGAATGAAGATGATTATAAAAATAAGAAATACCTTCAAACAGTTGCTGTAAGTTATGGGGAATTAAAAAAGGAACTCTAAATATGAGAAAAAATAAATTATATTGAGCATATGAGAAAGTAAGAAAAGATATGCAAGGACTTATCAAAAAAATAAAATAGGATGTGAGAGTACTAATAAGAAGAAACTAAAAATATGAAAGAAAATTAGTTGAATATGGTTTATTAATACCTAAAATGTCGGATTTAAATTTTATGAACAAACAATATTTTTAATTAATTTCAAAAATATTTAAATATAGCTTATCTATAGCAAATCTTATTTAACCTAATTTTATTAAAAAAATTAGTTGGGTTTGCTGTGAGGTTACCAGCTATCTCGCAAGATGATGATCACAAAGACGGTAAGTAATGATCATCATTTTCTTTTTCGTTTTTTTTTTGGGTTCAAAATTTAAAATTTGAATGAATTGAGCATTGAAATTTATTAGACTCAAGATATGTTACCAAATTTAAAAAGTGATTACATAAGCACTACATATTGCCCATAAATAAAATTTTTATACTGATAATGAGATTTGAACTCACAATTTACTTTTATGAGCTTTGGATCAAATCTTTATTAGTTGAATACATTTTTATTGGTTAAGTAATAAATTTATCTTCAGGCCAAAAAAAGGTTAAGTAATAAATTTAGGGAAAATCAGGGAGAAGGACCTGCAAAAAGTAATATTTATTAGGAAGGATCTTAAAAAGTGTAATTATTTAGGAGGACCAAATATTAAAATATAATTTTAAAAATATGAAAGTATCCGTAACTAAATCTCCTATCTTTCCTCTAACCACTACTTTTGAATTTTAAATTAAATCCTTGATTTAATTTAATTATTAAATCTTTAATATCTCATTCCGACACATCTCTCTCATTCCTCAACATGGATTCACACCATTAATACTTCTCATTGCCCTATCAACCATTGTTAATTCATGATTTGTGCTGTTATAAGATCATTAATAATGACAGCGATATTGTATAAACTTTGCCAACTAATATAACGAATCTAATTGCATCTGGATAATATTTGGAGATTAATTTTGAGATTCCTCGAGTTAATGTGTTAGATAATATTAGTGTCATGATCTATGTGATTTATTAATATTTTTTGTTGTTAGTATGTTGCTTTTTTTGTTATTTCAATTGTTAAACCTCACACTCACAATTATTTGGTTTATGATTTTTTTTTTTGGGTTTTACAATCAATTGAGTATAGATGGAGTGAGGTTATAGTTTCAACTAAATGTACTTTAACAATATTTAGTTATTTATTGTCATTACACCTGAAAATTGAGATCATAAACATATGGATATAAAAGTAAAATAACAGTGCAAAAATATTTTTATGAATGAAATATAAGTTGTAACGTTAGTGGTTAGAGAAATTGTCGGAGATTTAGTTGGGGGTATTTTAGTATTTTTAAAATTTATATATTGATATTTAGTCCTTCTAAATAATTACACTTTTTAAGATCCTCCCTAATAAATATAATCTTTTCTTGGTCCTTCTCTGTAATTTTCCCATAAATTTATCATCTTCATGCGGGTGACGCGTCATTGGTTTCTTGTCTGGTGCCGTTCATTACGGGCCTGGGCCCTAATTATAATCCAAGAAAAATTCTTGAGTCATTCCCTACCCAAAAAAACATTTCTGTTCAAGCTCACGTTCATCTTCAGAAAAAGTTCAGGCCCAAAAAATTTTCGGAAAGAGTTTAAAAAAAAAAAAAGAAGGCATCATCTAATACCAATTTAAGAAAGTGAATAATTGCAAAGATGCAAAAGGAAAATTTTAGAGAAAAAACAAAAGAAACTAAATACGCCGCTGCATTGATTCTGTCCAATCATTTCGAACCATAACATCAAGCATTTAAATATGGGAAAATGACATTAAAATATTAGAAATTACAATATTTCAATTTTGGCAATAAGATGTTAAAATCTCAGAAAAAAATAATACCTAATCTAATATTTTACAAATATTGTCAAATGACTAAGATATTCTTGTATCAGTTTTTTTTTTTTAAAAAAAGCTATCAGACTTGTTAGTGCAAGTATATTTTTTATTATTAGTTGTTTAATACTTGTTATTGTTAGTTAACAATTTATTAATATATTTTTTGTCATTTGCTGTTCATATTAATACACTTTTTGATGCAAAAGATATTTTTATCATTTAACTATATTGACAAAAATCAAATTAGACATCACTTTCTCCTCTAAAATTTTGATTTCTCAGGTGTCTAAATTAAAATATTACAATTTTTATTTTCTTTTTATGTTGTTTTCCGTTAAAATAATTGACAGCAAAACAATGTGTACTATCATCCACTCATTCATTTTGCAACAATAGCCCCTCCTCCCTAAATAAATAAGTATTTGGATCTTCTAACATTACACCTCACTCATTTTTTTCCCCAGAATACTATCACTGTTTTTTAATACAAAGATTTAGTTGATTAATTTGAGAAAATTAAAAAAATTAGAAAATTACTCAATCATAGCATATATTATATGATCTATTTTAAATACCTGTGTGTGCTATTAGATTATATATCGATTTATAAGTAAAACAAATTAGTTTGAAAAAAGAAAGATAAATATAATGCTTTAAAGTAATTTTTTTAACTTTTTTAACTTTCTCAAAATAGTTGACTAAGTTTTATATTAAGGATCAAGGGTGGTACTATATTTATTATTCATATTTAATATTTTATTAATAATAAGACAAAATTTATATTTGCATCTGGCACCAACCATGTTCTTGCATGGAAACAAAATACAAAATTATCCACACAAAAAAAGGAAACAACATAAAAATAATGAATACATACATCCTACTCATCTCTAATAATGAATAATCTATCATTGATAAATTCATACTCATCCAAGGAATGAAGAAATGGCACCAAGTCACCAACAACGATTTTTTATGTGATAAATGAATGTATTTTTATTAGTTAATATTATAATAATATTGTTATGATGTATTAAATCTAAGTCATTGAATGTTGGTCCAATGATAAATATGGTAAGTGGAGAGAAAATGAAAGAGAAAGTTGAGAGGAGGCACTCCTCTCCCTGAATTTTCTAAAATAAAATAAAATGATAATCCAAATCTTATGACAGAAAAAAAAATAAAGATAAAAATGACTATAAATACTTGTTTGGATCCAGTAGTTTCTGAATTCAACTTTATATGGTCAGGACTGAAAAACTCCGTTCTATAATCAGGACAGTCTCCACATTTAGTATAGATATTATATTTTTTTAAAAGTTAAAAATGACAGGAAAAATGGCAACAATAGACTGTGAAAATAGAAAAATTGCACGCATGGACCGATTTATAAAAATTGCCGTGAAAACCTATACTATTATTATCAAAACCTATATTAATGTTGTCATGAATTCTTATTTGTAATTTTTTTTATTTGTGCAGTCTTTTTTAATCATTTTTTCAAAATAAAATAAGAATAAAAAATAAACTATTTAAATGTAATTTTTAAATATTCATCTGAAATCCATGCCTATAAAATCAGTGCCGCGGGACGCCTGCACAGATGCACATAGATCCGGGTTCTTTGGCTTCTGACTTTCTCCATTAAAACAGATTGTTTTTTTAAAAAAAAAGCAATAGTAATAAATACTCCTTCCGTTTCTTATTATAAGAGACAAATAACTAAATTACGTTGATAAAAAAAACAGTTAAAATTAGTTGAGGACAATTAATGTGTAAAAAGTATAATATTTTTTCCAACAATGCCCCCATTAATAAGGAGAGAAAGTATAAGAGAGAACAATTAAATTATTAAAAGAAAGAGAAATGGAAAGGAGAGAGAGTATGAGTGGGAAACAAAATAAATAGGAGTAAAATAGGAAATCAATACAAAAAAATAGAGATAACTTTTAAGTGTCTCTTATATATAGAAACATGCCATAAGCATTAAATGTCTTTTATAATAAGAACGAAGGGAGTATTAAATAACAATCACAACCACTGTTGTATATAATGCAATAACCAAAACCATTTCTTAAAGCTCCCATGGCTGCCTCCCTTGCAAACCCTGCTGCTGCTTGCAGACTTCACAAGGACCAATACCCTTGGTTGCATTTTCCTTCCAAATCCCTCAAATTCACTGCTTTCCCTTCTTCTTCCTTCATTGCTAGAACCACCGCTCGAACTTCCTCTTCCGCCTCCTTCGCGTTGACCAGGGACCCCGCCTCTGTTATTCTCATGGATGACCTCATGAAGGATGATAATGGGTCGGTTCAGCTTCAACGACCCGACTCGTTTGGTCGGTTCGGTCAATTTGGCGGCAAGTATGTCCCTGAAACTCTTATGTATGCACTCACTGAGCTCGAGGCTGCGTTCCATTCCCTGGCGGCGGATGAAGAATTCCAGGTGTTTAAGTTTGATTAGAACTATATTTTCGTTGCCAATTGATGAACTTAATTTGGACATCTTCAAGCTCTTTTTCCCCTTTTTATAAATCTCTCATTCCTTAGGGCTTTCCTCTTTATTCAATCATTACATGATTTCAACCATAGAATCCGTAATCCCCACAAGTAGATGATTCGGTAATCTAAGACAATTTTTTTGGACAAAAATTATTGAATTACAGAAAGAACTGAATAGCATTCTGAGAGACTATGTCGGTAGGGAGACTCCTCTTTATTTTGCTGAGAGGTTGACAGAGCATTACAAGCGTCCTAACGGTGAAGGGCCCCGCGTATATCTAAAAAGGGAAGATCTTAACCACACTGGAGCTCACAAAATCAACAATGCAGTTGGCCAAGCTTTGCTTGCCAAGCGACTGGGCAAGAAACGTATTATTGCAGAAACTGGAGCTGGCCAGCATGGAGTTGCCACTGCTACTGTTTGTGCCAGATTTGGGTTAGAGTGCATAATTTATATGGGTGCACAAGACATGGAAAGGCAAGCACTTAATGTCTTCAGAATGCGTCTTCTTGGTGCTGAGGTATGTTAATCTTTATGCTATACATTGCTGATATAATCCTTTTTACCAATTACTATTCAAGCTTAAGTAAGGGTTTCTGACATTGAATTATGCACCTATGCATCTGAAAATTTATGGGGTTTATGCAACCTACTAGCCTAGTTGCCCGATATTGACGTTAAACTTCTATTGGTTGGCCTTGCTAATAATGTGGTTCTGTGACGTAGGTGAGAGCAGTGCATTCTGGGACAGCTACACTGAAGGATGCTACGTCAGAAGCTATAAGGGATTGGGTGACCAATGTGGAGACAACTCATTATATTTTGGGTTCAGTTGCTGGGCCGCATCCGTATCCAATGATGGTAAGGGAGTTTCACGCAGTGATTGGCAAGGAAACGAGAAAACAAGCATTGGAGAAATGGGGAGGGAAACCAGATGTGCTAGTAGCATGTGTTGGAGGAGGTTCAAATGCCATGGGACTTTTCCATGAATTCGTTGATGACAAAGATGTTAAGCTGATTGGAGTGGAGGCTGCTGGTTTTGGTATTGATAGTGGTAAGCATGCAGCAACATTAACAAAAGGAGAAGTTGGGGTTTTGCATGGAGCAATGAGCTATCTGTTGCAGGACGATGATGGCCAAATTATTGAGCCCCACTCTATTAGTGCAGGGTAATTTTCCAGTGCTCCCATATCTGTTTTCTTTTGTCTATGCTGATTTCACTTATTCTAAGTCTGCTTTTTATTCTTTCAACATGCACAGCTTGGACTACCCTGGTGTTGGGCCAGAGCACAGCTTCTTGAAAGATATAGGACGTGCTGAATATTACAGTGTTACTGATGACGAAGCATTGGAAGGTATGACTACTCTGAGATTTTTGCCCTTCACTTTATCCAATATTTAATTATTTCTGACGGAAGGTGAAAATTAGAGTGGTTTTTGAATTTTAAATGTCAAGGAATATGCTTCTTCTTTTTTTTTTTTTTAATTCTTTCAACAGTGCTGCCTCTCATAAATCTCTTAATACATATGGAGTTGAGCATCATCAGGACTCTTTAGAAAATCAGAGAGTGATCACTTCGGTGTTTGATTTTACTAAAGAAGGAAGAAGAATGTTGATCATAAGTCCTGGTTACCTCAGAGACAAAGATGCAATCAGTTTTAAATAATGTCCATGTTTTGTTAGGAAAATGGTTATATAGACAGTAATACTGTTATGAATCACGATGCATTCCAATTTTACATGAGATGCCCCTGTCTTCCTTTTGACTAGAATAGATTGAGTCAAAAACTGCATACATTGTTGCAGTTTAAGACGATAACAATCTTATGTGCTGAATATTTCTGCAGAAGGAGAGATTTTTAAATTCTGTTTGCAAACAGATTTTCTTAATTATTCTGGAATATTTGAAAATCTTTGCTGAAGGATATGTTTTTTATGGCTATATCAAGTTGTTCTATATTGGTTTGATTTACTTCTCAAAGGCCAGGGCTTTTGTTGTTGAATTTCAAGGTAACTAACTAACAATCATGAATAAAACATGGAACCATCTTAAGCATACTTTTTTAATTGGGACTTTGGCTTGCTTTTGCGATTGACTTGAACCATCCATCCTTTGTTGATGAATTCTAGCTAATGTCATTTTGTTCGTTGGATGTATAGATGTTAGTATAACTCTGCAGTAATCAGTTTTGGTCCTGGCGAGAATTGCTTGGGTAGCGTTAACATCTTTTTCCCCCTAGTTAAGTAAATAAATAAGCAACCAGCGACGTTGCTTTAACCTAGCACTACCTGAATAGACGAAAATAAATTTCCTAAAGACAGCATATCCTGTACAGTTATTCCAAGTTTCCTGGTGGCTTCATAGTCTGTGAAAGCCGCAAACAAACCCGATCTTTGTTAGAATAGTCTGAAGCGGTATTTTTCATTTTCAATGAAGCTATTCCATTCTGTGGTCAGAAACTGTTGCTTTTCCGCCACTTGTGACTTATCTCTATCTACTAACAGAATCACTGCTATTTTGAAAATCAGACGTATTCATGTACAATACAATACTCAAATTGCGTTGATACACTATTTTTTTTATTATATTACAATGTCCGCGTTGTGTTGTATCCTATAACCTTATCAATATCTGTCTTTTAGTGTCGTTTAAGGATCCGTTGCTGTGATATTTGCAGCATTCAAGAGAGTGTCCAGACTAGAAGGCATAATCCCAGCATTGGAGACATCTCATGCTCTTGCTTACCTCGAAAAGCTCTGCCCATCTCTTCCGGATGGAACTAAGGTTGTCCTTAACTGCAGCGGCCGAGGTGACAAGGACGTTCAAACTGCCATCAAGTATCTCAAAGTATGAAGCTGATGGAGAAATTCTTGAATAGACCCAGTTCATAGAAAATGTCGTAAAGCAAGCTGATTTACAAAGAAACACATAAACATGTCAAAGCTCAATCTCACTGATGTGTTTGGCTGCATGTTTGTGTGTGTGTAGTTGGGTTGGTCTATATTTACTTTTTGTCAATCAAGTCTACTTCAAGAGTTCTTCAAGGCGGTGGTCCTTTTTTTTTTTCCCTTCCCCGCTAGGACTTGTCAGAGTATGGGTTTTAGGAGAGCTGGTATTTGCTTGGGAATGTCATGTGATGAGTTTTGTAATAAGGCTTGTTTCTGCTTTTGCATCTGTATTTTTCTTTCCTTTTCCTTTTTCCCCTTTCTTTTGGTTGCCCAATGATGTGACGTAAAGATCAAAGAGTTGCGTTATCTATTTATTTTTGTATTAATGAAAAGAGGGCAATTTTGAATAATGAATGGAAAATTTTTATTTCTGTCAATATTATAATTATGTGGATTAATCAATGGAAATTGATCTATCAAATTCTTTTAAAGGGATGCGTTTTTTCATAAGTAACAAATAACGCGAATATATTTTAAATTTTATGCATATTTTATACAAAACATTGGAAAATGTAATTAATTAGATGAAAAGTCAGATTCCGCTTATACAGACCAAGTGTTTTTAAGAGGGCCATTTTGATGGCTAAAATGAATGGTCCAAGAACGAACAAGAGGATTGAAACAAATGGCCCAAGAAAAACCAACAAAGAATTAGTCTAGTAGTATAAGGTTTCGTTAGATTTTTTTTGAGTTTCAAGTTCGAGTTTCAGAGGAGACATTTTTGTAGAGAGGAGAAGCAACAAACCTCCAACCAAATTATCAGGATGATAATATAAAATAAAAAAAAGCCCAAGGAAAAAATAGCGTTTCAAGAAAGTATTTCGATAAAAGAAAAAAAATTGTTATAAAAAAGAACAAAATTAATGTGTCTTATAAAGACCGCTCAATTTATCAGAGTCTGGTTTCGATCTAGGAACCTGTGGGTTATGAGCCCACCACATTTCCGTATATTTATATCTGTTAGGAGATCTATTGCAGATGATGCCAATTTTATCATTGTCACGGGTTCAAGCGCATCGTTCATTATTATTCATATATGTATGACGTGTGTTCATTATAACGTCTCCAATGTTCAATATTAGGTTGCATCACAATTGATTTTTTTCCTCTTAAGTTATCGCTTTCTTTGTCTATTAACTATCAGAGGAGATAATGATGGCAAGGAATTTGGTGTTGCAAATCTGCAATGGCACAAAGCTGCCACGGATTGATTTGGATTGTTCCCCAGTTGGACCACGCATTTTTACCTACCGGGAGAGGTGTGCTTTTGTTTTTGTTGAATTGTTGTCATATCTCTTGTTAGTGTTTGTTTAGATTTTTAAAAGTACTTGTTAATACAATGTGAGATAAAACTTTTTTTACGAATCATTATTAAAAAACTATTTTTAAAATATTTTTACCGTTATTACAAGCAAGTTTTTGTGATTTGTTTGGTATGAGAGAAATGGAGAGAAGAGGAGAGGAATGAAAATTTTAATGAACTCAATTTTTAAAAATAAGAAAAGTAAGATTTTAATATTTTAATAAAGTGAAGATGTAAGATAAAATAATAATAAAATTCAATTAAAAGTTTTTAACCCTGTTTTTTTAATTTTTTTTTAAATTAAGTTCATTAAAATTTGTTCTTCCTCACGTTTCTTTCATTTTCGTCGTAGCAAACAGATCCTAAAGGATTTATCAAATGTGCCCAAGGACTCTACTTAAATACATCTCCATTTTGCGCCACACGCAGAGAGAATATACTTGTAAATCTGGAATATTCTATGTCTAATCATCATTATCCTTATTTGAAGAAGCATCCCCTTATGAGTTGAATTTTATTTTTTTATTTGTGAACATTATTAGAGAACGTCATTTAAGTACTAATATTTAATTTAATGATACTTAAATTCTTTTAAAAAATTATTAGAAATGAATTTTAAATATTAATTTACATAATTATAGATGGCAAAAAAATTGCCTAATTATAAACATAAAAGTCTAAAAAACATTTAAAAATTTTCAATAATTTATTGAATCGATCAGAAGGACTAAAAATATTCACTGACATTATTTTTTTCAACGGTTAGGTAAACCTTTTTGTTTTGTTTTATCCAAACTTTGCGACCCAAACAATGCCAACTCTCATGGATAAATTTGGCAAAATTCCACCTAAATCCAATAACCGATAATCATCCATGAATATTATTATGTACTAGTTTGATTCTAAATCTAAGTCATTTACAGAATGAAATTTTTATTTTAACTATAAGTCACTTGTGGTATATTTAACACTTATTTTTTAATTTTATTTTTATTGGAAAGAAAGAAAGAATAAAAATATAAGAGAATAATTTGTAAATATAAAGAAATTTTTTTTAAATAAAGATAAAATTCAAAATATTGTGTCATATATTTTTAAATATGTACTCCTCTAGCCTTGTTTACAAGGTAGAGAGAGATTAATTTTTTTATATAAATTTACAATGTTACTGTTTATCTGTTATTGTGTTTACTTTGTTCTTATGAAGCATATTATATATTAAATAAAAATTAATAAAGTTTAAGATTTTTAATGATTTGCAGTGTTTTAAAAGCGGGACCGGATATCAAACCGGAAAGATCAACGGGTCATGGTTCAAACGGTCAGATCGGTTGAACCGTTTGGTCAGACCGGTAACATAATAATTAAATAAAAATAATATTATATAAACATATGATAACATATGTGTGTAAAAAAATAAAAAATCAAATTGTTAGATAATTTGAAAATATAAGTATATAGTTCAATTTCATCATTTTAGTAGCAATTCAACCCATCATAGTTAAAATATTATCAATGTTACGCTAATTAATTTTAATATAAATGAAAACTGATTCTAATTTATCTTTAAATAAACCAAGAATTAGTTTACAATTTATTTAATGTCACTTTTGTAATTGTGATGAAATATATAAAAAAATGTCTTTAAAAAATTATTCAGAAAAAATAGTTAAAAAAAGAGGATGAAAATATATAATGTAAACTAAGGTGATTAAATAGTTATCTATTTGTTAAAAAAATAGTAATTTAAGAAGTCAAAGAATAAAAAAAAGTTGATGACTTGGAAAATAATAATCATCATCATCAAATATACGTTTATTATTTTTGCCAACTATAAAATATGCATTTATAATTACGTTGAGATTTGTTATATGACATGTTTTATATTTAAAAAATACTCATAAAAAATAAAAATCAAAAGTAAAATGTGTAAAGTCTTGTCAATACCCGTTTTACCACAAGTCTGCAACATTTAAAGTTATCTTCCCTTCCCTATGTGAGCCGATCAGACACTTTCCCCTAAGCAGTTGAGCTGTCCACTTTCTGCAACTATTTTCTTCTTCACTCCCACAATGTCGACTACTGAATTTCGCAAGGTCTAAAACGGCATGGATGGAGGTTGCAACTTGCATCTATGGAGAAAGAAGGAAAAGAAAATGTTATTGGTAAATTTTATTAATTTTTGTTCTTCGATTTTATTATCATCTCCATCCCCTTTTCTTTTTCCTTCTTCATCGTTGTAATTTTTGCCATAACACCACCACGAACCCATGGAGAAAGATGAACAAGGGAGAAAATGAGTTGGCTTGACGGTAGAAAAAAGACGAAGCAAGTGGTGAGCAACAGAAATTTCAGACTCGTTTGGTTTTCTTGAAACTGCTCCGGCTTCCGGCTTTAATCCGGATTCCGGCTCAAATGCCGGCTCAGGACGGCCTAAAGCAGTCCAATCCTTTGAACGGTTAAAACATCCCAACCGAACCGGGAAGATGAACGGGTGAACGTTGGACCGGTCTGACCGTCCGGTCCGGTCCGGCTTTCAAACTATTGATGATTTGTATAAAATATATTAAAAGTGATTTATAAACAGATAAAAAGAGTATAAATATGGTTTGTGAAACTTCTTCTCGGCTCACGTGCCTCTAGTTTTATAGTTTTATTTAAGGGAGAATTAACATGAAGACTAAAAAAAATTATTAAAAAATCTTAATAGCAATTTAATCCGAACTTTACTGACTCTCACATCCGCTGTGACCACGTTGCACGAGGGATCTGTCATTCAACGATAATAAAGGGAAAATTTTCATTGGTTGGTCCAACTTTATGAGATTCGTAAAAATAATTTATAAAAATAAGTCAAATATTCTTATTAATTAGAAACATTTGAACTGAAGTATCAATACTTTCTATACATAAAATCTTGCAGAGTATTTACACATTTGATGTATATAAATATATTAATAAAATTTTTGAACAAATACTTTTAGCTGGTTTTCTCAAGATTAATTCAATACTTTGCTAAATTAAGAAGTTCAATAACTTTTATTTATAATTTCAAATAGGAATAAATAGTATTATTTTAGAAAATTATCCGTTATTAAAAATTAAAATGACAATTGATTTTTAGATAAATTTTTAAATTAACTTTTTGTGATAAATTTTGCAAGATTTTTTTACATCGGATTCGTCGATAACTTTAATTTTCCTTCAAAAAGAAAGACAAAATTACATGTCGGCTTTTGATTTGTGTGTCGAAAATAGCTCTCAATCATCAGACCATTTTTCTGGGTAGCTTTCTCTAGAATGAAGGAGGAGTCCAAAACCAACCAACCAAAGTCTCTTCCTTTTCCTCTGGGTCTCTCTTTTCCATGGCTTCCTCTGCATCTTCTTCTTCGCTCCCGAAGCTAATTTACATAGCCATAATCCTCACATCGCTTTTGAGCCTGCAAGTTTGGTCCTTCAAATCCCCATTTCACCCACAAGACTTGCTTCCTCTGTTGCCCAGACAGGTGTCCTGGCCTGTCCTTAACTCCCTCCACAATGCCGTCGATCTTCTTCCCTCATTCGTCGGCGCCGTTTCGTCCCCCGAAAATGCCCTGGAGTGGAAGGGCTCGTGCTTCTCCGAGAACAGGGCTTGGATGGAGTTTCGCAACGATAGCGGCACCGAATTCGGTGGCGGAACACTTCATATCAAGGTTGACTTCTGAGTTCGCTACTCTACTTCACTGTAAACTTCGATCATTCTTCTCAGTTTGGTACTGAGTATAGCACTGCAATCGATTATTGCTACATACTCAAACTCAAAAGCACGCATGAGTTTTTATCATGGTGAAATGTTAGTAGTAATAGATCTTTCTTGACGACAATTTGGACAACTTTAATTTTGTGGGTGGTGTTAGAATGAGTGCTATTTCAATGGAGATAGAATATAAACGATTGTCCAAACTTCATTTTGCTGAATCCAAGGGTTTGAAAGTGAGAGATGATTAAACGTTTAATCCATTGATGGATTCTGAACTTCGTGGT